CTCAAAAAGGAATATTCATAAAAATTTCCCAGCCAGGTACGGTGGCTCAAACCTGTAATCCCAGCACTTTGAGAGGCCAAGGCGAGAGCTGCCTGACCCCAGGGGTTCGAGACCAGCCCAGGCAACATGACGAGACCTTGTCACCACAATAAATCAAAAAATTAGCCAGGTGTGGTAGTGCGTGCCTGTAGTTCCAGTTACTTGAAAGGCTGAGGTGGAAGGATTGCCAGAGCCCAGCAGGCCAATGCTGGGGTGGCTGAGTATACCACTGCACTCCAGCCTTGGCGACTGAATGAGACTCCTATTTAAAAAAAAAAAAATTTCCCAACTCACATTAGTAATTTTGATCAGCTCAACTGTCAATTAGAATCACTTTACAGTACTGTGCCAATATGCTGTTTTTCCTACAGAAGTAGCCAGTAATGTATAATCTGTTGCAGGTTGTAATTTGTTACAACTATAGAAATTTCTCTCTACAAGACATTAGGATAAAACACTCTCAAATTGTAGCTGGCAAGGTTTACAAGCAGTTAACAGTCCTCTGATCTCTCACTGAAACATAGCAATTATTACTCATCATGATAAAATGACATCCACATATTTAAATGCAGACAGATCAAGGTTGCATCCCTATTCAAGAACCTAACAACCCAGAAGCAGGTTTAACTTCTGAGTGTCCTAACAGGCCGTACTGCTGTAATAACTGCCTCATAGGACTGCTGTTAAGGTACCAGGAGAACAATTGATACAAAGTTCATAGCACAAATGGGCAAACATGGGCTCAGAAAGGTTAAGCAGCTTGCCAAGAGCAGACAGTTGGTAAGGAACAGAGCTGCATTTCACACTTAGGAGTTCTTTTCTGTCAAAGGTTCTTTCAGTTACCCAAGGTACTAATAAACAGTTAACATCTCTTGAGCACATACCATGTGACAGGCACTATAGGAAACCCTTACCATGGATCCCCTCATTTAATTTTCATAAGAATTTTACAATGTTTCAAACGATCAGTTCACAGGAAAAGAAATAAAATAGATCTCAGGTACCTGTTAATATGCTCAGTCTAATAATTAAAATTAAAACCACAGAGACACAATTTTTCATTTTTTAGATTACTAGTACCTTTGGTGAGGCAGGGAAAAACAAAGCTCCCACATTGTTAGCAAGTGTCCACTGGTACTTCCAAGAAGAGTAATTTGGCATTATCTATTAAAATTACAAATGCCCATACCTTTAACCAAGTAATTCCACTTCCCAGTATGTAAACTACAAATATTCAGCCATGGACAAAATAACATATAAACAAAGTTATTTACTGCTGCATGTTTGTAATGTCTACCAACAGGAACTGTTCAATAAACAAAAGTTTATCTGTATGATAGAGTACTAAATAGTCAAAAACAAGGGTGCTCTTTATGAAGCGATATAAAACCATCTCAAAAACATATTAAGGTTTAAAGGCTACAACAACAAGATACAGAGCACTGAGATAGTGTGTGTCTGGAAAAAACCACAAAAGACTTCAATAACATCAGAGTTTGAGGAAAAGCAGTTAGTGGGCAGACCTCAAAGCTAGAAAGGATACTCCGAAAGACAATCCTTGAGGCTTGATCCCCGAAGGATTCCAACTCCTGTCACTGGATTTGGGGTATTCCTCATTGCCCGAAATGGACAATATGGGTAACCAAGCTTGGAAAGCTGCTATATCCACTTTTGAGTGCACTATTCAGAGTGGTGAAATTGGCATTTAAAAATGCACCAACTCCAAATCTCTTTAGTGGCTACTCTTATCTACTAAAATAGCAACATTCTGCCAACCAGCTTCTCACCTTTAGATTTCTGCAGTCAGACACTGGTAATTTATCCTCCAAACTCTAGGGGACACATATCAGGTTCTTTCAAGGGTTTTTCTCATGTGCTCCACTCCAGTCCCTGCAAACATCCAACTGGGGTGAGAGGTTCAACCTCTCCTTCTGGCAAGTATCTTACTTCGTGCTCTCTTAAAGCGCCCCCACTAGGCTGGAGGTGGAGGAAACTCTCTTCTATGGGCATGGAACCTCCAATTCTGCTTTTATAAGCAGAGTGTATGCATGTTCTTTCACACCCTTGTGCCTGTGCTCATTCTGTCACCTCTGCCTATCTCCCTGACTACTGCTAATTGCCACTCCCTCCGGAATTAAGTCAAGACTCATTTTTATGTAACAAACGCCGAGTACCACTCAAGCATTGCTTCTTCTATAATCCCCACTGCATCTTATATATGCATATAATTATAGGACTTATTATGCTGCACTATCAAGTAACTACTTCCCTGTGTGTTTACTCACCAAAAAGTGAATGCTTTAGGGCAGAAATGTTTGGCTTGGTGCCCAACACGCAGTAGGCACTCTAAAAATGGCCACTGAGTAAAATTTGTGGATAAAGGACATCTGCTGAGCTTAACTAATTCCAACTTCTTTTGAAACAACTTGCCTATCTCTGCTGTCTTCCTCTCTAGAAGCACTTCTAATTCACATCCAAGAGCATGAGACTGCTCTCCATAGCATTTTCAGGTCAACGGGCCACCTGAAATCATCCTGGCTATACAAGCAGTTAGGACCTTGCACACCACTTCCATCCTATCACAATACACCACTGCACCATGATGCATGGCCACATATAATTTGGCCAAGATCGTACGAAAAATGAATATTGAAAGGATAAGATAGCCGGGCTCGATGGCTCAGCCTGTAATCCCAGCACTTTGGGAGGCTGAGGTGAGTGGATTGCCTGAGCCTGCGGGTTAAAGACCCGCCTGGGCAACTTGGCGAGACCTCATCTCTACAATAAATCAAAAAATTTAGCTGGGTGTGGTAGCGTGCACCTGTAGTTCTAGCTACTTGGAAGGCTGAGGCAGAAGGATCACCAGAGCCCAGCAGGTCGAGGCTGCGGTGGCCGGGAGCGGCCACTGCACTCCAGTCTGGGCGACAGAGTGAGACTCCAACTCAAAAAAAAAAAGAAAGGATAAGATAAGTAGTATAATCTGTTGACCTTGCTTAGACTCAATCTAAAACCCACAGTAACAAAAATAATTTCAGAGAGCATGCAATCTCCACAAACAACAAATGCAGTAAAAAAAAAAAAAATGTGCTAACAGTCACAAAAATCTAAAAAGTGCACATAATCTATCTTATAATGCATGGATTCAAACTTCAATCTCATTCTAATGGGCAACTGCTAGGGAGATAAGACTATTTTAAAGAAAAAATTGTACACAGAATAAATGATAAGTATCCTAGTGATTCTCACTAAGGCTCCAATGTATTTTCTTATTGAAACAATCAAACAAGCTCTTGGCAAAAAGATTTTATATTGGTGTCAGAATAATGTAAGAATCGAAACTATTTATAATGCAAAATTTTCGCTTAAAGCAGATATATCACTTCTTATTTTTCTCATTTTGAAAAGAAGCCATGTTTCATTCAGCAATTCTTCTTCTCTTATTCTATCAGAGAATCTGTACAAAAGCAATACTTCAACTAAAATCAATTCTGAAGGATCTTTTATGAATACGCATAATGCAGAAGACCCCAATTAAATTTCCAACAATGTACTGCCATTTTGAGTAAACAAAGTCATCTCAGTGAGGTCATGCTATTTGTGAGGATTGCAACCTAGAAATTAATTACTAGCATGACATATGTCAAAACAAATTTTTAAAAGAATAGGATGCAGTTGTAACCATGTGTTTTATCATATGTATGCAAAACCAGTATTCTCTGGCATATAAATATATTCATTTATTCAGCATCTCTCAGAAAAATAAAAAGGATTTATTACCCTTCTTTTTCCTGCACCCAGGTAAAATCTGAGTAACACATGTTTAGTGAGTCAGAAAATAAGTACAGAGTGAAGACATAGTATGGGTGATATTTATGAAAGGCAGAAGTCATCTTCACACAAATAACTAATTTGGAAGCATTCAGTTTACCTTCAAGGAAGTTCTTCAAAGACCTACACCAACTAGGCTGATGTCTTGTGGAAACCAAAGCTTTAAAACACATGCAACAGTATTGAGGTATGAAAAAGAAGAGTGTAACTGGTAGTTAAAAACAAAACAAAAAACCATCTGGGGATAAAAAGAGGGATTTCAAAGAATTCCAATATTCTGCCAATTATGGCAATATTTATTTAAATATATATATTAGTGTATTTAAATATATGTATTAGAAAACACAGATGTAGAGCAGATGCAAGCAGTTTTTTACTTGTGTTTTCTTTCATAGAAAATGATGTCTGAAACCAAAGACTTATCTTATACCTGACTTACCTAAAAAACAATTTTTGATCTTCAAAAGAGTCTTTCCTATGTGAGGCAAAGATTAAAACATGCTTCTTGCAGTCATATGCTGAATCACTTATTGATGGTGACATTTTGCTTTTTCAATGAAGCAAAACAAAACAAAGCAAAGCAAAAGAAAATTTCCCATGTCATAGAAATTTTGAGTTAGAAGACGAAGCGAAGTAAAGTAGCTTTCTCTGGGGCACAATGACCTGCAAGGCACCTGCACTACCAGGACTCCAGTCCAGACTCAACTTTCCAGCTCATATTTTGTTATCAGGAAGTCAAGAGCTGATAGAGATTTTTGAGATATTTGTCTCCTAGAGTGTTTCTTTTTTCATTAATTCTCCTTAGTATGGTAATTAACTTGGTATCTTACCCTTAGTTTTTACTCCTTAATGTCTCAGCTATAAGAGTCAGTTACCCACCCTAGAATAAGGAGTTTACATGATGGGTCATTCTGAGCACTAAGACTGCTCTTCCAGCAAGCCCATTCTATCCTGTCTTTTAGATGTAAAAACTGAGATAAAACTATACAGTTAAAAGACTGACCACAATTTCCCCTTTTGATTTTTTAAACCAAGTTTCTCCAAATTGATTTCTGATTGTTAAGAAGCATAAGTGTACTGAACAAAGCACAACATTCTTTTGGTACTTCAATATTGGAAATTAAGTGACTTACCTCTCTTAAAACTGTGCTTTTATAGCCTCGATACAACCCTTGGATGCCCTGAAACAAACACAGAGCTGAGAGCTCAGAAAGAAAAGATTTCTGAAAGACAGTCTACATACAGAAGAAACACCTGCTTTCAAGTTTAATTTCTAAAAAACTCACAATTACCATAGGGCTATAAGAGGTTAAAGGTTTTAAACTAATGTAAGGTATATAAAGCTCAGGTTAGCTCCCTTTGGAACACCTCTAACCCTAAAACTGGTTATGTATTAATTTTAGTTTTAGTTGCTATTATTCTACTAAATAATAAATATTACATAGCATTTAACTGCTATAACACTTCTTTTCTTGAAAAGAACATTCAAGATGCTTTAAATATATTTTCAAAGACAATGCATACAAAAGCCAATTATATCCTTTCATATAAAAACAGAATTATATTTCATAGCTTCAAATATCAGAAATTCATTAATAATTTCTCAATAAAGTAATGGCTAATATTTCTGGACAAACTTTGATTTATTTATTTCACCATTCACATGGTTCAATGGGAAACATGTACTAGATTGATCTCATTTGTACAACATTTGATCTCATTTACACAATATTTGATAAGCTATTTGATGTCTCCTCACTTAGGTGAGAGATCATTAAGAATAACTTTTCTAAAACTGAGATTCACTAAAATGTTCATGTTATAAATTCCCATTAAAAAAAAAAAAAAGCCGGGCTCGTTGACTCAGCCTGTAATCCCGGCACTTTGGGAGGCCGAGGCGGGTGGATTGCCTGAGCCTGCGGGTTCGAGACTCACCCGGGCAACTTGGCAAGACCTCATCTCTACAATAAATCAAAAAAATTAGCCGGGCATGGTAATGCATGCCTGTAGTTCCAACTACTTGGAAGGCTGAGACGGAAGGATTGCTGGAGCCCAGCAGGTAGAGGCTGTGGTGGCCAGGAGCATGCCACTGCACTCCAGTCTGGGCAACAGAGACTCCAACTCAAAAAATAAAAATAAAAAGGAGGCCAGGCATGGGGGATCACACCTGTAATCCCACCACTTTGGAAGGCCAAAGCAGGTGGACTGCTTGAGCCCAGGAGTTCAAGACCAGCCTGGGCAACATAGCAAAACCTCGTCTCTCCAAAAAGTTTTTAAAAAATTAGCCAGGTGTGTGGCACACACCTGTAGTCCCAGCTACACAGGATAGTGAGGTGGAAGGATCACCTGAGCCCAGGAGATCAAAGCTGCTGTAACCATGATCTTTGTGATCATGCCACTGCACTCCAGCCTGGTGTGAGTGAAACCCTAACTCAAAAAAAAAAAAAAAAAAAGCTTCTGTTAAAAACTATAAAGGAAAGCAGCTAATACTCCTTAGTCACATGACCAGGAAGAATAAATTCTGACCCACAGTTTAAAGCTAATCAGTAAAAGAGCAGCTACACTTTGATATACATATTACGACACTGGTCACTATTATTCATCCATTACTATATTTCTCTTCCATTGGCCCTCCAATACCGTAGTGATATTTTAATATAATGTCTTTATCCATTTGACATACTTATAATTTGTTCCACATCTGATTCCAAAGAAATGCAAAAAGATCATAATTCAGGACACATATACAGCAGTGACACTCAACATGCGTTTAGAAATTTGAAAAAAAAAAAGTCAAAATACAAAGACAAGATAATCTTAGCAAAACAGTTACTATACATGGACATTACATTTAGCTCTTAAGCTTTCTCAAAGGCTCTTGGGATGAGAGCCACAGTGCTGATATTAGCTACTACAAAATCTTTCTCAATGAAGAAAAAAAAGAGCTTAAAAAACACATCTCACCTCTTCATATAAGATGTTAGAGAAAATCTGAAATGTTGTCGAAGAAGCAGATACCTGTGCCCTTTGCTTAACCACTTCAGATGGAACTCGAATCAGGCAAGCAACCTAAAATATATACATTTAATTATATCCTAAAAAGGAAATAACTGCTACAAAATTGAAATTTTTTTCTTAAGCAAAAATTATAGTAAAAACATATATATACAGGCTTAGTGCAATATGTCAAAAAGTTTTGTTTTTTTAACCTAAAACACTTGGACCCTTAAAGAATGTGCATTGTTTCATCAGCCCAGGACCTTTCTGTTCTTGACCTGTATAGAACCTCCTGCACATCTGTCTATATTATATGACAATGTAATGTTATCAATGTCAAGAAGCACATCTTCTCATTTTTGAATCTGCAATACCTAGAACGGCATCTGGCACATGACAGACATTTCAAACACATGTGATGAAAGAATGAACACAGGACCTTTGCTTTCCTGGAAGTAACACTTACATCAGTAGAGACAAGGGTGAATCATCAGCTGGTACCCTGATCCTTCCACCCAACTCTGTCCCCAGCTCTCTAGACTCTCCACCATGCGGCAACTGAGGAGGGACTCCTGGCATCCCTGCATTCTGCTCCAGCATTCCAGTTGACATGGGTCTTGACTGGCCCACAGGTACACCATACCAGTCAAGTACTTTTACTATCACCCTTGGGAATATGCCAGGATAAGGTATATGTTACCTCACACTGCCAGGATTTTACCTTCACACTGTAAAGGTGGTCTATTTTCAGAAATAGTAACAATCAAGATTTGGTCAAACCCGAAGGAATTCTGTCCACAGGACAGAAGGCAAGGCAGGGGAAATGGTGGTAAAGTACAGCAAAGGAGATAAATAAATTGATATTTTAACCCATTTTAATGAAACTCTTGCTATGTACTAAGAAGTCTGCCAAAAATACAAAATTTTCTGCGGCTTAGATTTTACATATACAACTTTAGTGTTCAATTTTTTGCATAAGATTGAGGAGACTGACTTTAAGACTTTTAGATCTAAACAAATAGGTTTTATATAAAATATATTTTATATGTTTACAGTAGGAAATGTGGACAATTTTCTTCAATAACACATATAACAGAATGGAAAAACAAGAAATTTTACAAAACTAACCCACAACAGAGTACACAAACTCAAAGAGGTCTGTCCTTTTCTATCTGTATTCTCCTAATTTCTAGTCTGAAATTACTACTTAATTTGGATATTGCGTAAGGTTTTGTCTTTCCAAAATTAAGTGGCTCTAAGGCAAGGTACAGCAAACTCTTTTTTTTTTTTGGAGTCGGAGTCTTACTGTTGCACAGGATAGAATGCAGTGGCATGCTCACAACTACCACAGCCTCAACCTCCTGGGCTTAGGCGATCCTCCCACCTCAGCCTTCTAAGTAGCTGGAACCACAGCTGTGTACCAACACACTTGGCTAATTTTATTTTTTTATTTTTTATTTTTTGAGTCAGAGTCTTACTTTTTCATCTAGACTAGAGTGCACTGGCACACTAACAGCCACCACAGCCTCAACCTGCTGGGATCAGGCGATCCTTCCACCTCAGCTTTCTAAGTAGCTGGAACTCAAGGTATATATCACCACGTCCAGCTAATTTTTATTGATTTATTTTTAGAGACGAGATCTTGCCAAGTTGCCCAGGCTGGTCTCAAATCCCTGAGCTCAGGCAATCCTCTTGCTTCTGCCAAAATGCTGGGATTACTGGTATGAGCCACTGAGCCCTGCTCAACAAACTTTTGATGTAAAAGACCAAACAGGAAATATTTTACGGTTTGCAAGTCACATAGATAATCATGTAAATGAATGGTTTGGTTGTGTTCCAATAAAACTTTATTTACAAAAACAGGCAGCAGCTTGCCAATCCCTGCTCTAGATATAAACACTGGCAAGTTCTTTGGTATTAGCCTTGGCGAGAGCACAGTAGGCAAAGACTAGATGTAAGCCCCAGCATCCCAAGATACAAGGGACAAAGATGACATGTGCTATGATTTTAGATATCGTGACGTCAGTGAACATGGCCATAACAATTCTAAGAACTACGAAATAACAATACATTATGTTAATGTACTACAACAACAGATATGGTTTTGATAGCAAAAGGTTCATTACTTGAAGTTATTTTTCTACCAAAACTGACAACTTTTACCCAAAAAAAATCCGATTTCCATTTCTTCATCCATTGAACATTTGAATGCTTATGTACTACAACAACAGATACGGTTTTGGTAACAAAAGGTTCACTACTCGAAGTTATTTTTCTACCAAAACTGACAACTTTTACCAAAAAAATGATTTCCATTTCTTCATCCATTGAACATCTGAATGCTTACTATTTGTAAAAAATGTCTGCAATCAGGACCAACATATTTTTCCACCCATCTCCCTCCCTTCAAACCTACCTAATTCAGTTCAAGAAAAATATACTGAGCCAGATATACCCAAGATACTCCATGGTAAAGATGAATAAGATGTGCCCTGGCCCCCTCAGAACCCACAGATACGTACAGATAATTTTGATAATATACAGCAAAAAGAAAGAGAGAAAGAGAGAGAGAGACAGACAATGACCATGGGAAATGGGAAGGAGAGGTACTTAGTCCAATATACAGACACAAGGAAACTGCCAAGGATTATTATGCCTTCATAGGACCTTCCAGATGAGCCAGAATGAGCTGACAAGCAAGGTGGAAAGGGCACAGTGGGGAGAGGAAACAATAAAAGGAAAGCACATAAATACAACAGCAGGGTGCTCAGAGGGAATAGTGCCAGCCCATCTCAACACTCAATTGACAGCCACTCACACTATTCCAATATCACCAAAGCATCGCGTGCTAGGTAAGGAGAGACAAGTAAGACTGGATACACAGACGAGGATTCGTATGCCAAGTTAGGGAGCTGGGACTTTATTCCACAGACAACAGGAGCAAGTGAAAAAATTCACGCAGAGGAAGGATAATGTGTTGTGCTTAGGGAGATCACTCTGGTTGCAATGGACAGAATAACTGGAGAATGGGGAGGAGAGAAAGGTAAGAAGCAAAGGATGAAAGATAAGCCAGAAGGCAGGAGTTGGGCTGTGAGACTGCTTCAACAGTTCTATAAAAAAATGCCAGGAAATGAATATGGCTCAGAGAAGGGTCAAATTTGAGGGAAGAGTTAGGAGGAAAAATGCACCAGACCTGGTAACCAATAAGAGGTTAGGAGTGAGGAAGTGGGGTAAGAGTAAGATGTTCCTAAATTTCTGGTTTGGATGATGGGTATATGGTGGCCCCGTTACATGAGACTGGGGTCAGAAGAGAAAGAGCAGGTTTAGAAGGAAGATAGTAAGTTACTAGGAAATGCCGAGTAGATGTCTATGGGACATGTACAGAGCGAGGGCCAGCCAAGAAACAAACATATGGTTATAAAACTAGAATAAACAGGGCTAGAAATAGAGATGGGGAAATCATCAGCATACAGTGATGGCTGAAGCCTAAAGAACAGACTAGAGCACCCAAAGATAGAGCAAAAAAAGAGCAAAAGGCCCAGAATGGAAGACCGAGAACATGGATTTTTGAAGAGCAGGCAACAGAGAAGAGCTGGCCAGAGACACCAGAGAGGAGGACAGGGGTGTACTGCTCTAGAGAACGCCTGCCTTCTCTGGTTTTCCACTCTCTTGCATAAGGGACTTCCAGTTAGGGAAAGCAAAGGGAGTCAGTCTGTTCCCTCCTTTCCCCAGCAGGAGGGCCACAGCCACAGTCAGGGGAGTTGGGTTTGGTAATCTAACTCCTGCCCAGGGATCTGGTTCTAGAGCTATGCTGACCAATACACAGGCCACCAGCCACAGAAGGCCACAGAGCACTTGAGAAGTGGCTGGTACAATTGGGATGTGCTGTAAGTGCAAAAGACATACCAGATTTTGAAAACTTGGAGCCGGGCTTGGTGGCTCAGCCTGTAATCCCGTGCCTTTGGGAGGCTGAGGTGAGTGGATTGCCTGAGCTCGTGGATTTGAGACCCGCCTGGGCAGCAAGACCTCATCTCTACAATAAATCAAAAAATCAGCTGGGCGTGGTAGCGCATGCCTATAATTCCGGCTACTTGGAAGGCTGAGGCAGAAGGATCGCTGGAGCGCAGCAGGTCGAGGCTGCGGTGGCTGGGAGCGGCCACTGCACTCCAGTCTGAGCAACAGAGTGAGACATCAACTCAAAAAAAAAAAAAAAAAAGAAAACTTGGTATGAGAAAATAATGTAAAATGTATCATTGATAATTATTTTATATTGATCACACACTGAAATGTAAATATTATGGATATGTTTGGTTTACTAAGACATGCTATTATAATTCATCCCAGCAGTTGTTTTTTACCTTTGTTAATGTGGCTGCTAAGAAATATAAAATTAGGCCAGGCGCGATGGCTCAAGCCTGTAATCCCAGTACTTTGGGAGGCTGAGGTGAGAGGATTGCCTGAGCCCATGGGTTCGAGAACAGCCTGGGCACCTTGGTGAGACCTCACCTCTACAATAAATTAAAAATTAGCAAGATGTGGTAGCGCACGCCTATAGTTCTGGCTACTTGGAAGGCTGAAGCAGAGGGATCGCTAGAGCCCAGAGGTCAAGACTGCAGTGGCTGTGAGCACACCACTGCACTACAGCCTGGGCGACAGAATGAGACTCCAACTTAAAAAAAAGGGGGGGGAATATAAAATTATCTGTGTCTTACATTATATTTCCGTTGGACAGAGCTGTTCTGGAACAACTGGGAGAGTTTCACACTCATTCATAGCTGCAGCATCCAACAGTGGAGGCCTCCAGGGGCCAGTGTTCTGGGAGGCCCAGTGGGTAGTGCCCAAGACAACACCCAAAACACTCTTTTCCTCGGGAGCAGGCCTGGCGGTGGTTCCTGCCGCAACCTCCCTTCTCATTCATTTCCCAAGCCTCATGCTCCATCTACTCCGCCAGTATTCTAAGAGCCATCACAGAGTGTTCTGAGTCAGTCACAGGAGTAACTGCTTTCTTGGATGCAAGTATCAGAACCATGACTATAAATGGCATTTAATTATGTCATTTCACAAGCTGTTTG